CCCCAAAACCCCAAAACCCCAAAACCCCAAAACCCCATCCAATAGTTTTAAAATGTGTTTTTCAATATTATTTAATATGATAATAAATTTGCACTAAATAATTATAAAGCTAGATTGTTAAGCATTTTACCAGAGGATACTTTAATAGGTACTTATTAATTCATCTGTAACTATTTTTCATGTAATGTTAAAGTTTCATTCTTTGAATGATTGGGTTTTTCTCTTTGTTGGCTATTGGATTTACTATAGTGTTGTATTCAGTTATGGAGATCAATTCCTTTTTAGGAGATATCAATGTGCCCACACTGCTTGATCCATAGAGATTGCCCTGCAGCAGTTATCCTTTTAAAGGCGGTTACTATATTTACTACTATGCTTGAAGATAAGCACCAGCACCTTAGTTTAACAAAGAAGGTGAGTATCTGTTCTAAGACTCTTTGGACTAATGCCTACTCTGCTAATGCTATCTCTGCTGATTCATATTACCATTTGGACTTTCCCCCAAACTAGACCTGCTGGGCAGCCTGTCATATGAATTCCTATTGCTTAAATTTCTCTAGGTAAAGAACTGCTAGTCCTTCGAGGTCATTTGATTCAGAGCAGAGTCATAATTCCTCTGTGTTTTGACTGGCACACTTCCAATTGTATTATTGTGTATCAGGCCAGGTACCAAACCATTGCTCATATTTACCATGCCATCTCTATAAGTATTAGGTGGGAGAGTGGCATCCCAGTTTTTGTACCCCTCCAAGTCGTATTTATTAAATTTCTTCTCCTAATGAGTCATCTGCCCATACTCCTCTACAGCTGAATCCTTCATACGTTTTTATTGATCAAGTGTTAGCTTGTAGAAGTTCTAAAGCTTTTTATTTTGCTCAATAGATAAAGCAGATTCAATGTGCTGGTTTCTCTCATTTATCAGGCGATCTTGAAGTTCCTTTTGCTTGGTAAGTTAGTTCAAGAAGTGGTCATTGGATTTACGAGAGAGCAGGTCTTTGTTTGTATTAGTGGTAGACACTTGATTAGACAGTCTTCTGTTATATTTTTCCATTTCCTTCTCGTCTAACTTTCTCTAATACATATATTGGTCTTTTTGTTCCTTTTAGCTGATTTAATCTAATTTAGTCAGCTCAGGGATCAAAACTGTGCTCTGATACTGTTGCTGTCTCTGCCTTTGATTCATATCTTACAGCTAGAAGTACTCCATGTATTGTTGTTGCTATTTTGAATGCACTTTCTAGTTTTCAATGCAACTCTAAGCATATTCTTCTTTTTCTCTGCGAGATCTGTCTCTTTCCTTGTCCTTTTCTACCTTCTTCATTTCTACTAACTCCTTCACACTCTGCTGATACTTAAACTGCTCCTACTCCTTGAACTGCTAGTCCTTCCTAAGTGCCTTGTCAACATTCTACAAATGTTGCTGTTCCTCCTGAAGCAGTTACTGTCGCAGTTACTAATCTCTGTAATGATGATGCTAGTTTTAAGAGTAGTTTTCCTTTGATATCGATTGTTTCAGCCTTGCTGTCAGATCTAGTTCTACTAGTTCTTACTAATCTCCTAGTTTCTAAGCTTCATCAATGTCGAGTCTCTGATTAATACCTTGCATGTATTCAAGACCACCTATGTCCTTTTTTATTTTAATTTGGTTTTCAAGTGAGTCAGCCCATTTAATCTGCTTTTCTTTCTGCACCAGTTCTCGCTCCTTATCTTACTAAATCATGCGCAATTGCTGCATCTGCTGCATTGCACTCCACTCGTCAATCGAACGACTTCACTGGTCTACAGGGTAGTAATTCTTTCCTTGACTAATTAGTTCTTGAATCTTTGCCTCTTTTTTGGAAAGCTCTGTTTTCTGCCCATAAGAATGAGTCTTCAAAGGGTCTACTGGAACTATATGCGAAATCTAATTCATTTTATATATTATTATTTTGCAAATAAATAAATATTCCAAGAAACTAAAATTATAAGAATTGACGGGGTTTTGGGGTTTTGGGGTTTTGGGGTTTTGGGG